TTCAAGAAGAAAATGAAAGTGGATGGAACCATTGACAAGTACAAGGCAAGACTAGTAATAAAAGGCTATAGACAAAAAAGTGGCCTTGATTACTTTGATACGTACTCTCCTGTCACACGTATTACATCCATTACATTGGTACTTGCAATCGCTTCTATAAGAAATCTTGAAGTACATAAAATGGATGTTAAAACAACTTTTCTAAACGGGGATTTAGAAGAAGAAATCTACATGGAACAACCAGAAGGGTGTGTTGCCCAGGACAAGAATCAAAGGTTTGCAAACTATTGAAGTCATTATATGGGTTGAAACAAGCCCCAAAACAATGGCATCAAAAGTTTGACCATGTGATGTTGGAAAATGGATACAAGATTAATGAATGTGACAAGTGTGTTTATGTTAAAAACACAAGTGAGGGTTATGTTATCTTGTGCCTTTATATTGATGATATGCTTATTGTTAGTAGCAACGATAAATTGGTTAAATGAACAAAGGACATGCTAAAGGCAAGATTCGACATGAAAGATATGGGTTTGGCAGACGTCATCCTTGGTATGAAGATCACAAGGACTGCAAATAGACTTACTTTAAATCAAACCCATTATGTGGATAAAATTCTTGAGAAGTTCAACTCTGGTGATACTACTTTAGCTAGGACACCATTTGATACAAGTCGTCATCTAAGTAAAATTAGAGGTGAAGGAGTTGCACAAGTCGAATATGCAAGAACTATTGGTAGTCTGATGTACCTTATGAGTTGTACCAGACCTGACTTAGCTTTTGCAATAAGCAGACTAAGTAGATATACCAGTAATCCGAGTGATGAACATTGGAAGAGTATTAAAAGATTATTGCAATACTTAAGGTACACTCATAATTATGGGTTGCACTATACAAGATATCTCGAGGTGATAGAAGGGTATAGTGATGCAAATTTGATATCTGACATTAAAGACTCCAAGTCAACCAGCGGGTTTTTGTTCACACTTGGAGGTGGAGCTATATCATGGAAATCTTCAAAACAAACAGTTATAGATAGATCCACCATGGAATCTGAATTTATAGCACTTGATAAAAGTAGATGGCTACGACAATTTTTGGAAGATATACCAGGATGGCCTAAACCAGTTTCTGCAATCTCAATCCATTGCGATAGTTAATCGGCAATTGGACGTGCGCAAAGTCCTATGTATAATGGTAAGTCTCGACACATCCGTCGAAGACACAACTCCATTCGATAACTACTCTCAACTGGAGTTATCTCAATTGACTACATAAGGTCCAAGGATAACATTGCGGATCCGCTAACCAAAGGGTTAAATTAGGAGTTAGTTGCAAAATCGTCAAAAGGAATGAGATTAAATCCCATGAACGAATAAGTTATTGCGAAGGAAAACCCAACCTAGTTCATTGGAGATCCCAAGATATTGGTTCAATGGGACAACCTACTTGCATATACATATGTGGATCACTGTGGGGGTCAACTTCAACCCATTCCTATAAATAATAGTGATGCAGGTTAAGCTTATAGTAGTTGGTGATAAGATGGAAATCATCAAGCTTTAGCTTTTAATGATTCTGATATAATCACCTATGTGAGACAGAAGTGGGGTTGCTTCAAAGGGAATTGAATGGGCAAGTTCCTAAGAGCTCTTACAGAACCAGGCAAGTGTCCATGACCAAAACGGACACATCAATGAGAACCTAACTAGGTCAGGGAGAATCATGTGAGACATGTATTGATTATTTAAACAAATGGCCGAATAGTTCAAGGACATCGAGTCTATTGGTCCGCTAGTAAAATAAATATGTATCTTAAGGGAAGGTTCAAAGGGTCAAACCTATATATCCTGTGCATGATTCAACTGCTGGATTTTACCTAAAGCCGCTTGCAGTTGCGGATGCTGAAGCAATTTTCATTCATGTGGGGGATTGTTGGAAAATTAGTTTTATTAATTTCCAAAAATGGATTTTCTCCATTTCTTAGCACAAATTTTGGACTCTAAATATAATCAAAACGAGTTATTGATTATATATTCGTGTTCTCCTCCGTGATATCTTCGTTTTGGTATATCACACGTCCAAAATGGATTAAAAGTGAATGAGAACTTACTTGTCAAAGTAGGGCAATTGGAAGAGAAAATAAAGGAGTTAAGTGGGTTTTAAAACTCGTCCCACATTGGTGGGAGAATGAAAAGGAAATTGGTTTATAACTACAAAGACCAGCTACATTTGTAAGACTTATTAGAACCAATGCTCACTCTTGCGCGCGCACGTAGGGGGGGGTGCAAATGCGAGCCAAATTGGCTTCGGGCCACTGAACTTGTGTGCGGGCACGAATGCACCACCGGTCGACCAGAAAAGTTTAAGGACCTTTTTTTCCTTTTGATTAACAGTTACAAAAACGAATTACGAGCAATTAATCATCGGTTTTGATTTCTTGATTAATTTTCTTATTTAATTGTGACAGTTCGTTTTAATTACATCAGTTACACTGGGTAGTATATATACAACGCCTATGTGACTGATTCAATACACCGGATGAAACGAAATCACTCTCTTCCTCTCTTACGCTTCTACCTTTTTTGCATTTTTTTCATTTTGGTTAACAGTTACAAAAACAAATTAAGAGCAATTAATCATAGATTTCGGTTTTGATTTCTTGATTAATTTTCTTATTTAATTATGACAGTTACGATTTCGTTTTAATTACATCAGTTACATTGGTTAGTATATATACAACGCCCATGTGACTGATTCAATACATCAGATGAAACGAAATCACTCTTTTCCTCTCTTACTCTTTTGCTTCATCTTTTCTCTCGTGCTGCAACCAAGGTATAATCCGGGCCAAGTGACGGTTCGGGCAATCTAGAAGAATTGCTTTCTACTGTTGTATCCTGGGAAACAAACACCCATATATGGTGAATTTGTTTTAAGGAAACTGTGTTAAACATATGTCTCAGTCAAGAATTTTATGGTTTTGTTCATTCGTACAATTTATGGGTTATATTTTCCTAACAATATATTGTGAATACTGAAACATTTTAGATGACAAGAATTTCGTATATACCCTTATTAAACGATTAAATATCGTATTTGTCCGACTTAAACTTTAAATATCATATTTGTCCTTATATTAAGCTTTAAAATATCAAATTTGTCCAATTCTATTTTTTTAATAGTTTTTATTATTTAATAATTTTTTTCTATAGTTTTAAATCATTATAATTGTAAAAAACACTGTATGGACAATAATGTCCTTACCATCTAAATGACTTGGAAATGAAATAACACCATCGTAACATGTGACCTTCTTCCTTTCCCTCTTGCATCTTTCTTCTTGCAAACAACTATTCATAGTAGGTAATTGTAATTCCTCCATATTTCTATTTCGGCGGCAGTAACTCTAACTGTCCTAAGGTCCTCTCTCCATCCCATTTCATGCTTTTGATAATATTTTACTAAGCTAATAAGCAACAGGTAATTATGTTTACTATTTTTTTTTTTTGCGTTTGATCATAAACGAATGACGGGAGCTCATAAAACTTAGTGTAAAAGATTCTTGCGATTTAGAATGGAAGGGTGTTATGGACCATTTAGTTATTTTTTTTAGTTTTAATGGTTTAAAATTATAAAAAATGATTATTAAATAATAAAAATTATTAAAAAATTGATTGGGGCAAATTTGATATTTTAAAACATTAAAAATGACAAATATGATATTTAGAGTTTAGGTTTGATATATTAAGTTTTTTGCTAAAAATAAAAATGGATAATGATCATGGTGTTTTTTTTTAATATGAGTATTTTTTAGAAAAAAAAATGAATAAAACCAGCAATAGAGGTTATAATGGATGCGAAAAAAATATATCCAAACGATGAATTTTTTACAAAAAATAAAGTTAAATAGTTATTATGACAAGTGTTTTTTATGTTATCAGTTAATAATTATATGAAAATTTATTTGCTTTAAATTGTTTGAAATAAAATAATGATGTACTCCTATAATATACTGATAGTTTTAAAATATAACTTGAGGAAACAATTGTAAAGCACCAGTGGTCTAGTGGTAGAATAGTACCCTGCCACGGTACAGACCCGGGTTCGATTCCCGGCTGGTGCATATGAAGCAATGATGACAAGCCGCTTCTGATGGATGGTCCCATCAGTTTAACATGAATCTCATGTAAAGAGGCCCTTCTGAGTTTCATTTTTTTTTTTTTTTTTTATAATTTTATCAGCCTTTTTCTTTTCGATCCAACAAAAATCAAACCCAAAATTTTGATGTTGTTCCTTTTGCGTCCTATTGTTTAACAGAAGCAATGCTGTATAGTAAAATTTTATTCAAGAGGAACATACCATAATCGTGATAATCGTAATACAATTTACAAATATAATACATTTACAAATATAATATCATGTACATACCATAATCGTGATAATTGCTACTTACAGTTAAATTGTGAATACTTTTCTTTAGACTCATTCACTTGGAAATTATACAACTAATAACATAAACGTTCTTTTTGGAGTTGGACCCATTTTCAAATTTGAATCCCAAATGTTTCAAATATTTATTTAATTTTTCTTCCGATTTCTCTCTTATATTTTTTCCTACTTCAAAGTTCAAATCCTTGGATTGATTTTTTCTAATTCAGAACTTTATAAAGGTGATTCACGTCTTTGTCGATTTTACTTGTCGATATTAAAGACATTTTATTTTATAAAATAAAGTTTTTTTTTAATGTTTAAGATAACCGTTTACTTAATTATATATGTTCAATCCACTTTACGGTTGGTTTTTATCATATTTATGGTTGTTACTGTAATCAAATATACACACAAGATTTATACCAGGCATATGATCGGCTAATAAACATAGCCCAAATAGTCAATAATTGCGCCAACACAACACACTAGCAAATTAGCAAACAAGATAACTTAAAATAACACCCACTAAAAACATAAAGAAAATTTAAACTAGAAATGAAGAATCTTTATTGTAAATTGCAATCAAACGCTGTACTTTCTTCATCGAAATCCCAGAGTTTCTCCATATAGTAGACTACAACCAATATGCAAAAGCCACACTCAAGAACCTACACATAACAATGCATAGAGTACAACTCATAATGCACGTTGTACAAAGTACAAACACCATGGATGAACTAAACTACACCTTACAAGTTACAACATGCACATGTATGTCACTTTACATCTCCAAGTAAAATATGCCAAAATGGGAAGATTTTGTTGTATTAAAAATTTACACTAAATATGTATTTTATCACATACCAAAGAGATGGCTTTTAAGGATGAAGAAAAAGGTTTATTATATTTTTTATACTTCATCACTGCCACTTTGGTTAGTGTTTTTCAGTATGTTGAATTTGCAAAGAGGACAGGTGGCATTAATGTACAGCCATTTATCGATGCACGGGGCATGAAAATGGTGACAACACGGGAGCTCACGGAGTTCGGTTCCATCATCATACGAACAAAGGCAAATGCAACATTCCTGTTAAAACAAAACAAAAAAAGTTATAAATACCATACATAAAAAATTTTAAAAAAAAAGGATGGTGAACTGGACAGGCTTTGTAGGGCTATTTATGTCTTTTCACAGATAGTTTATCAGATTTGGGAAAGAAACTTACAGCATCTTCCTCAGATAAAGCGCGTTCAACGGGGGAATCGGTGTCACATTCTATCATGATTCCACCGTAACCTTTTTGAATCTCCCCATTTTGTTTCTCGAAATCATCGATTCTTTTGAATTTGTATTTAGGGAGTCGTTCAATGTCATCCTTGGTTGCACCCTCCTATTTCAAAATTCAAATAAATAAAATTACTTAGGGAAATATGAAATTTGTTTATTGTGTATTTATCACTTAGATTCATGGTAAGCTTCAATAACATACTTTTAAAGATACTATTATAAGTAGTTTTGCACTACTTTTAAGCCTGTTCACAAAAACACAAACTGTGTTTATGTTTTTTGTGCTTAAATTCATACTACATTTCAATAACATAACTATAATAAAGATATTGAAATTAATTTTGCACTATTTTATTAAGTTTGTTCATTGTGTGCAAACAATTCTACAAAAACATGAATGATTTGTTGTCACTTTACCATTCCAGTTTCTGTCCTTCTATCACAAATGAATATGCTTTTCAGTTATTTTTCGTGCTTAAATTCATAGTTAACTTCAATAACAATTAACATAGATTTAAAGATATTATGATTAGCTTCGCACAATTGTAAGTTAGTTTATTCTGTGAAAACAGTGCTACAAGTTTGTGACATATCACAAAGGAATATGTTTATCAGTTTTTGGTGCTTAAATTCATGGTAAATTTCAACAACATAATAAAGTTTACTATGTAGTATGTTTATCAGTTGTTTTTTTGTGCTTAAATTTATATTACACTTATAAAACATAGTTCTAAAGATATTAGTTTTGCACTTTTGCACTAACTTAAATTTGTTTATTGTGTGAAAGGAGTTCTACAATAACATGAATGACTTGCTACCAGTCGAACTTGTGACCTTTTATCATAAAGAAGAAAACTTATCACTTTTTTTGGTGCTTAACCTTTGAGTAAACTTCTTTAAAAATATTAAAACTAGTCTTGTACTATTTAAAGTTTGTTTGCTTAGTCAGAATGCGTGAAAACAGTGTTATAACAATTAACAACATGAAAAACTTGTCAATCGAGTTTGTGACTTATCACAAAGGAGTATGCTCATCGGTTCTTTTTGGGTTTAAATTCATAGTACATGTAATATAACATAATTTTATAGATACTGAAATTAGTTTTGCACTATTTCAAGTTTCTTTATTGTGTGAAAACAATGCCACAACAACATGAAAAGACTTGTTTCCAATTGAGTTTGTGAACTTCTATCAGAAAAAAGTATGGTTATCAGTTTTTTTGGTGCTTAAATTCATAGTAAACTTTATTAATATAACTCTAATGATATAACACTTATTCTTGTACTATTTTAAGTATGTTTATTGTGTGAAAACAGAAACAGCGCTACAACAAGAAATTACCTGATCAGCCACTGCATACAAGATGGCAATAATACAAGGTAGACAGCAGCAAACAGCAATTCCAACAACACATGCCACAGCAACGCAGATGACCACAAAAAACACATCAAATGCCAAGAATGTAATACACAACCTGAAAAAGAAGCCATGTATAAATCATCATGAAGAAAAAAAAAAACATTAATTTTCACATTGAACTTTATTTGGATGAAAAAGGATTAGGAAAAGGCAAACCAGTATAATTGAGGTGCATTCAGAGTAAGATGTTGACCACCGGAAGACACCCAATAGAATCCAACAATCCACCAAATGAACGAAAACATTGTATTAGCAGACTCCAAATGCTTTGCCACACTGCCACAGGTAAATACTTGAAGTGTTATGCTAGAAGTAACTCATAGAAAACTGGTGTTTGTGTTTCTTAAACACAATAGGAAAACTTGGTTGAAGATTGTACCTGGTATCATCATCATTCTGCAAACTATTTGATGGAAAATCTGCATTCTCCCCTTCATCGCTCCCTGAGCTCGAAGAGTTGGAACTCGAATTTGGAATTCGATTTCCGTTATTAACTTCCGATCTCAAATTGCCACCATAATCCGATGAACGTTGCTGGTATCTGTGCTTGTACTCAACACACACACAAATCATATGAAGCAAACACTGGCACGCGTATCCAACAATCCAAAGCCTCAAAGGCCTCTTTGGATTCTCCTTTCGGCTCATAATCAGTACAGAAATCGAAACAACAATAAACGCAAGGTTCCAAATTAGGTCTAGGATCACAATCGGGCGTGAGTAAGCCCAATCGGTCTGCCGTTCTTCGATTTGCTCAGCCGCCGATTCCCTCACACGCATCGACGGCTCACGGAGCATCCGTCGGCTACTTGCGCGGCGGAGGAATCTCGCGGCGCCACGGAGGGAGGGAGTGCCTCTGACGAATTGGCGGCTGCGGAAGATGCCGTCGGAAGTTGGGCTGAGCAACGGCGTCGAATCGATGGTGGTGGAGGTGTCTTCGGAGGAAGATGACGGAGATTGAGATGGCATCGTGGTCGACATGGTGAAATTGACAGAAAGGGTTATCGATTGGATCGATGGATCGAGTAACGGAGATTGTAGAAAAACCCCAGTTGTAGTTAGAAAGTTATCGATGAGGACAGTTGGTTGATGAAACGGACGGCCATGGATTGGGTTGTTGGGTGAAATGGGGCACGGCGGTTGATTGGAGAGTTGGAAGAATACCTCTCAATGTGTCATGGATTGGAGGTGCATCACAGTTTCGATATTCCAATAATCACTAAAAATTATTACAAGGAAATTGGTTTGTTAATCCTAAAAACTTATATATAGAAAATAAAATTGGTTTTTAATGACTTTAAGATAATAAATTTCGTCTACTGTATGTAGTCGGTTGCTTTTTTTTTTTTAATGGGATGATTAATTTATAAAGTAAGATAGTTTAAAGTTTTGTTTATATTTAATTTTTTTTTTTTTTTGTCTATATATTACCATTGAATTTGTTTAGACAGCTCATTTTACATTTTTATGATTGGTTTATATTTAATCTTTTAAGTTTTTTTTTATTATTATTCACATTACATCCTTATATACTTATTTAGATTTTTCACATTACATCCTTATGAATTCATCTTTTATGTTACCATTGAACAATATTTCTACTAAGTCCGTACGAAAGGAGTTTTAGTTTGAACGGTCCTATTAAATCTTTCATCTTTATTAAATTGTTATAACTCTTTCGTTTGAAGTTAGAATACCATGACTTTTTGTCAACACGTAGCTTGATGTGTGTACTTCATTTTAGACCATATAAACACTTTATTTTGTTAGGTATTGATTTAGTTATAGAACCTGTAACATATGGTATCAAACCTAAATTTATGTTGTTTCAACATTGAGTTTGCTGATTGTACTTCATTTTAGACTATATAAACACTTTATTTCTTTATAAATTAGGTTAGTTTTTGTTGGTTGATGTGGTATATTCTAATTATTTGGGTTCAAAGCAATAACTAGTTGTACAAACTCCATAAGAACATGTACCAGTTCCAATCGAGTATTTGACCGAAAACTGGACCGGCATCGACGTAGTTAACTAGTCCAATTATCGATTCTCATTATTGGTGTAAAACGGTCCAGTTCCAAATCGAGTTCAGATCGGTTCCTCACCCTAATTCCAACTAAGCATTATTGCATTCGTCAGCATTTACATGACCAACTACCTAATACTATGCATGCTCGTCAAATAGCGAGTCTGGTCCCAAAAAGATTGGACTATTTTGTTAGTGATATGCAGGGGCGGAACATGACCACTACAAGTACGGGGGCCGAAACCAGAACATTAAACGGAATTATATAAACAATTTTTTCGATTGGCTCTTAATAACATGTTAACTAAACTTAGGGATATTTCCATCCAAAAACATTGTTGATGGCTATT